TAACCTGTGTTGTTAAAAGACAGGAAAACATCTGCGGTAAATTATTTTTCCTTTGGAGCATGTGCCGGTTTTGTCATTTGGTTTTGTTTAATTGCAGTGCAGAAGAATTGATAGATAAATTTGTATGCCAGAAAATTTTTCTTATTGCTCTTATTTAGGACAGGGAGAGGTGCAGCCTTTTAATTGCAACAGTTGAATTTTATATTGCTGCTGCATTTTCAGATGAATGCACTGGACACCCTTGGTCAAACAGCGTTGCACAGGGCTGCGTTAGCAGGGCACTTGCAAACCTGCCGGCTGCTGCTGAGTTATGGCTCTGATCCCTCCATCATCTCTTTGCAAGGCTTCACAGCAGCACAGATGGGAAATGAAGCAGTGCAACAGATCTTAAGTGGTGGGTAAAATAAAGGCTTGTGTATTTGAACTTCAGCTTCTCCCTTTACAGCTTTCAAACTTGTTTCTTTCTCAATGCAAGAGACTTGCAGTAGTTTTCTCATCTCTTCTTTTTGGCATCAAGTGCACACAACTAGAGTATGTATTGTGTGACACTTGTCAAAAAATAAATAAATAGCTCTGCCCAGTTCAGTGATTTTGTGAAAATTGGGAAGAAAATAATCATCTTGTAGACCTAGAGCATGCTGCTGTACAAGGAGATTGTAGGAAGGCACATGTAGGGAGTTTTGGGATTCTTTTGGTAGCAATTTCCAAGGCAGCTGGAATATTGCTGAGCATGTAAGAAACCTTTTTCCCTGAATCAGCTAACCTGTTAGGTACTCCATACTTCAGCAGTCACAAGCAGAGTGTTACTGGCAGAAAACCAGTAATAGTTGCTAAACTGTTTGAACTTTTACTTCAAATCTCTTGCTTGTCCAGTAGAGAAAGATGTTATTGTGAAAGTGCTCTGGATAGTGCATAGATAACAATTTGTTTATATCTTGCATTAAAAAGATGAATAGACGTTTCAAGAGGGTGCCACTATTTTTCATATATGTGGCTAAGGATTTACATCCTCTTAGCCATGTTACATTTGAACTTTTGCAAGTACAGAGAAGAATGATTGCATCAATAGCTACTACAGAACAAGTAACTCACCTTACAGTGAGATGTGCCTGTAGTCAGACAAAGGCAAATATCCAGATAGATGAGAACACCCATGGTAGCTAGAAACTCCATTTTCTCTAAGTGTTTTCAACAATGTTACCTTAAAACAAGACAAAACAAGAAAAAAGCATTTTATGGCAGTGCAAGGAAGGACTGTTTTGAAGTGTACCCACTCCTGAGATGTAGCTGGTTACGTGGGTAGCGTTACCTGTTAAAATGAGCACGTGAATGTGTGTATGTGGACTGAGAGAGAAGAATGCTGGCACAATAATGTCAGCTTTAGAGTCAAAATCTGACTGATTTGCTCTAAAACTAAAGCTTATTCAGACGTTTTGGCAATGTGAACTTGAACATCGCAACCCCAGCTGCATTTTCACAAGTACCAACAGACCAACTTCACTCCCCAACTTTGGAAAATATGTTGAGCACAAGTTAATACAACTTAAGTATCCTAAGTAATCCTAAACCATCTTTTTCCCTATGTACAGAAAGTACACCTGTGCGCACATCCGATGTGGATTATCGGTTGTTAGAAGCGTCCAAAGCTGGAGACTTGGAAACTGTGAAGGTAGGTTTGAACAGTTCATGTGAATTTCCTGCTTTGCATTGTTGTGCAAGGCTCATGGAAGCCTCTGCTACATGAGTTGTGAAAGCAGTGCCTAATAGATGGTAAATCATAAAAAATTATTTTTTTATGGGAAGTCATGGGTGTTTCTTCATTTTTCTTCTATAAAGTAGTACATTAAGATGTACTGAGGTGTGTTTCTCTTTAGTTTCTGCTTGCTGATTCTGCCAGTCCTTCACACAGTCTTGTCTTTGATGGTCTCAGATGTAGCCATAATTCTTTGTAGCAGACCCTGTGATTCTCAGAATCAAAATTTAGTAGAAACAAGCCCTCAGGTGCATGATTCAATCAGATGGCAAGCAAATACTATTAATAGGTAGCAGACTTCATATTTTAAGCCATCCATAATCTCAAGGTGAAGGGTCAGGCTGTGGAATTCCAGCATCACAGGAAGGTTTGATCTTGTTTTTTGGTACTTGGTCTGTGGACAAAACAGCCTTCAGATGGACTGTTGTGCATACTTTCCCACCTTGAACTTAAACATGATGTACATTAATATTCAAACAGCAGCAGTTTTGTGAACCAGCAGCTCCTTTGACTGCAAAGCAAAGTTACATGGCCTTGAACCTGGTACTTGATGATGTTGAGGTTCACCCTTTCTTATACATTAGGAACATCTTCACACTGCTTCCATCATTTAAGTCTTGTTTGCTATATAAGTACTTTCATCTGTAAGTTTAGAGCTGCTATTTTTTTAACTGCATAAGTAGAAAGAAATTTCCTGATATTTAAAAAAATTTGTAAGTGGATCACATTTTGTGTCGGGGTCTTTGAAGGTGGTAGCTTAATTATTTTCTTTCGGGTTGGTTTGTTCCGTGTTTTGGTGTTGCTGTTTGGTTTTGGGGAGTTCCTTATTTGTTAGTTTTAGTTCTGTACTAGATTTTGGGTTCTTTTATCTTCACAGCAACTTTGCAGCCCTCAGAATGTGAATTGCAGAGATCTGGAAGGCCGTCATTCAACACCACTGCACTTTGCTGCAGGATATAATCGCGTATCAGTGGTGGAGTATCTCTTGCACCATGGAGCAGATGTGCATGCCAAAGATAAAGGGTACATTTCATTACATTACATCTTCTGCTGTTCTCTATTAATATGAGACTTATATCCCACTTATTCATTTTGCTTCAGATTTCAGTGACCATAGTGTTTTTATCTTGAAAATTTTCCCTTTCCTTCTCATTCTGCATTGTTCCTGTGCTGTAAGGAGATTTACATACCATTACAGCATACTTTGCTTTCTGGAAAAGCCATTATCAAGTACATACCTGGCACTGTAATACATGATGCTTCTCTTCCCCTTTTTGCCCATTTTGGAGACTTCGTTTTGCCTAAAAGCAGCCTTTAACTTGTTTTAGGTGATCTAAAATTAGTTTTGAATGAAATGGGGCAAAATACCAGGGTTATCTCTGGTCATTTTTCTAATTCTATTAGCTTTTATTATTAAAGTTAGTTATTTTTACAGTTAATAATCAGTTAAATTATAGGAACCATTTACATGTTTTTGCATTAATTGTGAAGCAGCATGGTTATGTTCATTTTTTTACTTTGTATATTAGTTCAGGGTGGGGAATAAATTTCCAATACTGGATTTTTAGGCTTACCCTGGAAGAAGTATCTCAGTATTTGGGTATCTTTCTGTATCTATCAGATATGCAATACTTACTAATAACTGCACATCAAACAAATTATATAGTGTTATGTCTTTCTTGAAATTTACACTCAAATATCCAAACTTGAAACAACTGTGAGTCTTGCAATTTATTTTTTTGTCTGTTATTAACAGCGTGGAAGTTGTAACATTGGGGGCTGCTTAGTATTTAAGTCTTGTGGATGAGAACTAAAGGAGGATAGTTAAGTTTTAATGGATTTTTCAATAGAGAAATAAAACCATGAAAACTGGAAAGACTGAAAGATAGAAATGATGTCTGGTAAAAGTGAGACTTTTATCTACTGATTGCATATAGGATTTTATTCTCTAGCTATTAATGCTTTCTCTTTGACTAGTGGCTTAGTACCCCTGCACAATGCCTGTTCTTATGGACACTACGAAGTGGCTGAACTCTTAGTGAGGCATGGTGCTTCTGTCAACGTGGCAGACCTGTGGAAATTCACTCCTCTACATGAAGCAGCAGCAAAAGGAAAATATGAAATCTGCAAACTGCTTTTAAAAGTATGTGCTGGAGATCTCAGATGTGTCTTTTAATGCATATATATTTTTTTTTCTGAAATTCAGTTAATGCAAAGTTAATTGCATTCATTGAATTATTTGTAGTATCTTTGAATCAATTTTCATCTTGCAACTGTCATATGGTTTCTTGTGTAATATGATTGGATTAAAAAGAATCATCAACAAGGAATATTTCCAGCACGTGCATTAATATTGTTAGCCAAGCAGGACAAGACTCTGAAACTGGAAAAAAACAGCTGAATTAGTATAAAAATGAGAACTCCCTACCTTGTCCTATCCATGCCTTTCTGAAGTAGTTACTGCATTTAAGTAAATTTTGTTAATACTTATGCAAGAGTGTGTTACAGAGCAATAGCGGAAGGTGGGTCCTAAATGCTGTTTGGTATGAGAGAAATGTAAAACTGTTATGTTAATGCATAATTTATAAAACTCCTGGAGGAAATGCATGTTAATATGCTGTGGCATAAATATTCATTATACTTAGAGGAGGAACCTGTTAAAAGCATGAGGTAATGCAAAGATGCTTCCAGTGAGAAACATGAGTTTGAGAAACTTAACATAAGGTCAGATCCTACCCTGGGAGGGTGAAAGGGGATGCTAGATTAGAATTTCTTGCCAATCCTATTTTCTCTTTCAGCCTTGCCTACTTATGTCCCTCTGAAGCACAGCATTTAAAATAGGAGAAAGTCAGAATATGGATAGTCTTTAAATAATGAGGACCTTCTCCAGCCACTTTTCATTTGCTGGTGTAAAGCCCCACTATTTCCCTCCTATATCATTAATTATTTCACTTGATTACCAAGAAAGCAGAGAGAAGAATGATAGTTTGAAGCATATCTACAACAGAAACCAAGAGACATTGAGAGATGTCTGTGGTATAGGCATGGTATGGTGGCCTGCAAATGACACCCTAATAGAGATGTTAGCTTAAGCTATAGGAACACTTGTAATCTCTCAAGCACCGTGTTGCATTATAGACACTGGAGGTCTCTGGCCTGTTCTGGTCATTCCACAGGGAATTTACCCATATTTTTTCTTCAAAGGATCCTGAATGGATGTACAACAGGAAATAGAAAAGTGCTGAAATTTACTTTTTAAAAAATCATTCATTCACAAGATAAGAGCTAAATATGCCCTTAAGGTGACACAGATGTAAAGTCTTTAGGTGTCTGTGGATATATGCTCACACTGCAGTTTACTCAGGGTTTCTCCTGCTGTGTCTCCTATGCCAGCTGGCAGTATTGTCAGTTCTGCTGAGTTGTGGATGTTGAGTTTGACTCCTCTTGACTTGTGCTCCTTCTCTCCTGGTCTGTTTGAAGAAGGAAACAAAAATAAACAGGCATTTTGGAGCCAGTGTCTTTTTTTAATCACTTTTCTTTGAAATTATCACCTTCGTTTTTTTCTGTGCCTTGGAAGGGGTCTCAGAAGACACTGCCTCTTCATTCAGATATTTATTTTGGTGCATATGTGAATAGTTCCAATTTTGATGAGTTTTAAATTAAGGGATTTCAGGTCATATCTTAGAGAAGTCATTGCAATCTAAAAAGCTTTGTGCGAAGAATGCTCTCTTCCTAAAAGAACCACAGATGTGGAAACTGGTTCTGTGTAATCAATATTCTGTCCCTTTTTGTCCCTTGCTTTTTATCCTTTACACCATGAGCACAGTTGTATTGCTTCCAAATACAAAGCAGTTAGTTCCCTCTGTTCTCCCATTGCTGTTCTTCCATTCCCAGTCCAGTGGGAAATGGCAGGGTAGACTTGCTGGCAGGGATTGGACCACTGTGTTTGACTATTCTGAAGGGGTCAGCCAGAGAGCTATAGCAGCAGCAGCTGCCTCTGCTCTATCTGTCTTTGTTTTTCCCCACTGCTGCTGAGAGTGAATAGGGAAGGAGCTGTCCTCCCACAAAACTGAATGTGGATGTGACTCACTCCATATGCTCAATATAGGTCTATGTTCCCGTTCTCAACCCCCTGTTGCTGCAGTACTGTGTTCTTGTCACTCCCTGATCTATGTGTTTTACCAGCACAGATACACTCCAGCAGTCATCCAACTCCACTTGTCCACCAGAATTGGTTTTCACTTCTTCAAAAGACCTGTAAACTGCTTAAGAAGGTTCTGATATCTATTGGAAAGTGTAGAGAAGAGTATTTTGCTAGTTCCCTCCTGAAACAAGTGCCTTTCGATATCAGGGTGACATTTAGTAAAACTCAGAGCCTGGCTTTGCTAGCTCAGAAAGTTGTGCTCTGGAAATAACTCTGCCAGCCATTTGATTCCTGCCAGTTTTCAGGAGAAGGGGAGGACTGGGAGCAAGATACTTGCAGTTGGCTTTCCTTTCACGCTGCTGTGACAGTAAGAAATAGCTATATGCAGGAAATGCTCCTGAAAATACTTCAGTTGCAAGTAGAGCAGGGACAGCTCTTGCAGAGGGCTGCCATTCTTGCCTGTGGAATTGAGATTCACACAGCTGTGTTTCAGACTAATGCTTTTGGGCCTCAGCCTTCTGAATTTATTTGCACATGCCTACTAATCTATACAATGTTACTTCATTATGGTAGGTGTGCCATCTTGTTTTGCAAAATAGTGACACACTTGTGTGCGCTGCTCTGCACATGGTTGTGACACTAGCATTCCAATTGCTCTTTGCAGCATGGAGCCGATCCAACAAAAAAGAATCGAGATGGGAACACTCCTCTGGATTTGGTGAAAGAAGGGGACACAGATATCCAGGATTTACTGAGAGGAGACGCTGCCTTGCTAGATGCTGCCAAGAAGGGGTGCCTGGCACGAGTGCAGAAGCTGTGTACTCAAGAAAATATCAATTGCAGAGACACCCAGGGAAGAAATTCAACACCACTGCATCTTGCAGGTAGGTAAAGTGCCAGGTTTTCAAGGTTTGTATATTTATGGTAGGTCTACAGATGTAATTTGCCAGAATCAGGATTGGTATGGGAAGAGTTTCACAGAGAATTATCCTGTATGAAGAGTTAACTATGGCACCAGTATTTCAGGAGGTAATGCAATTATTAGGGAAGAGGAACTTTTGCAGCTGAAAAATTGCCTTAGCTTTTCTGTCTAATATTTTTCTTTAGTTTAGCTCTCCTAATACCTAATTTCTTTTCCTGTGCTTTTTCTACAGCTGGTTACAACAATTTGGAAGTAGCTGAATACCTTCTTGAGCATGGTGCTGATGTTAATGCCCAGGACAAAGGAGGATTGATTCCCCTACACAATGCAGCATCCTATGGGGTAGGTGCAAGCAGTCTTGGCATGAGTAGATCAGCAAGGAACCTCTTGAACACATATCGAAAGCCAGTTATTTTGCAGCTGTTTTGCTGTGAACACAGTTCAGGTTTTGATGAAGTATTTGTTGGATGAAGTTGCTGTTGTGAGTCCTGTTTGCAGTCCTACACATTAAGTAGGATGCAGATTCAGGTGTGCTGTAGCAGTTAAATGCTGCAGTTTGGAAAGATCAGCACAATGTAGCTTTTATGCAGGCAAGTAGATGCACAGGATTGAATGGTTTGGGGTAATGTTTGAAAAAGAAAAGACCTCAAGTTATCTCTGGAAGACTTAGATGGAAGAAAAAGAAAAATACCAGGGGATTCTGTGCAGATGATGACAGGGAAGTGGAGGTGAGTTACAGCTGGTGTTCAGTGGGAATCTATTGCTAGAGTTGAAGGACTACTGTGTTTCTAATGTGGTTGTCCTCCAGGGCAAGCCATCTGCTTGCAGGGGAGGTGCAGTGACAGATTCAAACCATTTTGGATGAGGCAGGTCCTCCATAAAGGAGTAAGCATCTGTGTCCCAGTTGCACAGATGCCTAATAGATTGCTTATAAGCAGCTGTTGGTTGTGGATTGGGTGAGAAAGAAGTCTCTTATAAATAATTGTACAAAGAAGTGCTTGAGAAGCTCCTAGCACTGTGCTTACTGTCAGAGAGAGGATCTGAAGCTCAGGAAGTAATGGGTTTGATGGTCTCATGATATGCGTTGTCTGTTACTTACCTGGGCCTGGCACAAGTACAGCAAAATTTGGGAGAGGTGACCATGACAGCACCATGATTGCTTTTGTTTGAGAGCAAATGAAATAAAAAGTGCAGTGTTCACCTTGTTTCTGAAAAGAGCATCAATGGAACTCAATCTACACCATTGTGTATTGGTTCTTTACATCACTATGGGATCCCAGTGTCCCAAAGAGCAAAAAGCCCCAAATCCTGATGAAAGATTAGAAATGCAGCACAAAATTCTTTTATGTTACAGGTTCCTAATACTAATTAATATTGTTTATCAGCATCTGCCATAAGCATAAATTCCCAGGATGTTGCTAAGATCTAGAGATAAATTCTCTTAGAAATACTGTGTTCTTTTCTTTGGTGTGAGAAGACAAAACACATTTTACATTAAAAAACATTTTACGCAAACCCAAAACATTTCGTACTGGGATAGAGAAATGTCAGAGATTGGTTTTAGCTGATTGTAATTTGTAAAAATCATAATGCCAATCTAACCTGGTTGCCTTACTTCCTCCAGGAAACATTAAAAAAGAAGTGTTTGGTGCTTTTCCATCAGCTTATTTAGTTAAGAATTGCTGCATACCTTTCCTGGCATCCCACACTTCTCTCTGAGCTGTCATCAGTCTGTTCAGATCTCTGTGATGGGATGTAGAGAGGAGATGAGTACTGGTTTCACAAGTTCATAGCTGGCAAGTTTCACAAGCTCTGCCTTTTCCTCACAAAGTTTCTTCAGTTCTCCCACCCAGCACTTCATGCTGTGAGTCTCTCAATAGGGCTTTCTGTGGCAGAAAAATCACAGGAACAGCAATTGCTTTAAAAGTTTGGCAGAGAGGAAAAATAAACTTGGCAGTATTTTCAAACCACACTTATTCAGGGACCAAGCTGTTTTATGGGAGCTGCAAAGAGTCACTTAATTGCCATTGAGAGGAAGAAGGAAAACCATTGACAATTCTTTGTGCTTCTGCTTACAGTTTCAGTGTTTCATGCTCCTACCCACTGATTTTGACTACCTGCTTTTTTTTTTTTCCTTTGCTGTCTTGCACAAGAAAGCTCTACTGGTTAGAGGCAGGCAAAAATTTCATTTGTCAATTTTCTCTTATTTTTACTTGGGAGACTTCAAGGACAGTGTATTGATGGAAGCATGGGGTTATAAGTTCATTACTTTCATAACCCATGTTAAACAGCTGTTCCTTGTGACACTCATAATATGTTTTATCAAGTACAGCTCTCATAAAATATGATTGAAGATAGAACAAATCTGTGCTGCCACAGATGAGTTCAAAGTCTTGCAAGAAGGAAAGTACAACAAAGACTTCTGTGTACACACAGGGGTGGCTCAGTAGCACAACACACTGATCTTCAGAGCTTCTAGTATTGTGTCACAAAAGTGACATTTACTGCAGCCCAGTAAATTTACCAGTTCAAATTCATACACAAATAATTTTTTTTTTGTGCAGGGTTAAGTATCATGTCTGGTCCTGCAGCTGGTACAAACTTCATGCTATGTACTTGGAGTAATTTGACAGAAATCTGCTTCTGTGCCTGATCCCAGTTCTTTGTGTGCTGGTGAATGATCTGGTAGCTCACAGACTCAGATGACTGTGGAGCTGCAGTATAAATTGGTGTCTGGAGAAGTGTGCTGCTCCTGAGGCACAGGAGGCAGAGTGAGTTACAGGAAAGAGAAACCACAAGTGTCTCTAGGCACCATTACCTCAAGCATGAGAAAGGAATGTATGTTTTACCAGTGTCATGTTGATGAAGATGTTCTTGTGTTTTCCAGCATGTGGACATAGCAGCACTGTTGATCAAATATAATACCTGTGTAAATGCAACAGATAAATGGGCATTCACACCTTTGCATGAAGCTGCACAAAAAGGAAGGACACAGCTCTGTGCGCTGCTGTTAGCTCATGGAGCAGATCCAACCATGAAGAACCAAGAGGGTCAGACACCACTAGACCTGGCAACAGTAAGTTCCTGTTAGCCAGCCACAGGCTGCTCTGGAGGATGTACTCTGCATGTTAAATTCATTTCTATGTCTCAGTGGCACCAGCAGTCCTCGGCTTCCACTGTGCTGAGGTGGAGAGAGAAGGGCATCTCCTGAGTTCCTTTTTGTGGATTTTTATCCATGGGACCAGGTGTTTTCCTTTGGCTGAAATCTTAGCATGGCTAACGATTTAAGGTTTGCTTCTCCTTAAGGATTCACTCCTGGGATCAATCTCCTCATTTCCAGAAATAAAACTTTCTGAAATGTCTCTGATGATGGTTAGTCTGTGTACTGTTGGTGATTATTTCTTTGAACCTAAAGAGGAGCACCAGATGGCCCTTGAGAGGAATGGGAACATTTAGTGGGTTATTACACTCAGTGCCTCCATATTATCCCAATTCTTTTTTTTAAAATTAACTCCAAAACAACATTCCAAAGAACTCATTCTACCTCTGAAATTTGTAGGTGGCTACCCAACTTCTTCTAAAACTAGAATCTGAAAACTTTCTTGTAAATGATTTAAAAGCTTAATAAGGTTATATGAACATGTATGCCCCAGTTTAAACAGTCTTGATGGAATAGATAATGCAACCAAATTGGATGCTGTGTCTGGTCTCAGTGCAAGTATCTTTTAGGGTTATTGATTTATTTATGGAGAGTTCAAGAAATATTCTCCAGAGTAATCTGAGCTCCAGAAAACTTGCTTTGTGATGAAGGATATGAAGATTATTTGATATCCTGGGGGGAAATAAGGATGTCTTAATCATGTTCTACAAGAACTCTTTAGGAGGAAATTCTTGAAGATGAGCATGTTGCTTAATTTAGTCAATAAAGGCTAAATCAAACTGTTAGCTAAGATGATACTTTTCCTGAGCTCCTGTCCTTTTTTTTTTCTGTTCTAACCCAAGAGATGCGATTATGGCAAAGGCAGTGGTTGTCTTTCCACTGAAACCTTGTTCCAGTGCACCTGAAGTTGAGCCTGAGGGAGAAATTAAGAAGTGGCATTTCCTGTCCTAGATTCTGAAGGATTTCAAATAAAGTTGCTGCATTGTTCTCCCTGGATTTAGCACTTATAAAGTCTTTGTGCCAGAAAAAAATTAAATGTAGCTTACGTACCTTTAGAAATGGGGAGAACCTGATTCACTTATGTCTTAAGTGATGAATCAAAATGTTCTTGAAACTATGAATTCCTGTTAACAGAAGCTAACAGTTTTCTTTCTAATGGGGGACAGAACAATCAAATAAAACAGTTAAAAATTATTTCCAGAGATCAGTGACCTGAGATAGTAGGACCTCATGCTGGGTGTTCTTTCTGTTTTTCAGGCTGATGATATCCGAGCTTTGCTGATAGATGCGATGCCTCCAGAAGCTTTGCCCACGTGCTTCAAGCCTCAAGCTACTGTTGTTAGTGCCTCTGTGATCTCGCCAGCATCTACACCATCCTGCCTGTCTGCTGCCAGCAGCATAGATAACCTCACAGGGCCACTGGCAGAACTGGCCGTAGGAGGGGCATCAAATGCTGGAGACGGAGCAGCAGGAGCTGACAGGAAGGAAGGAGAAGGTGCATTTGCTGCTGGACAAGTTTACATTGCCAAAAGTACAGTAGTTTAGTATCAGAAGAGGCCTTGGTTTATCTGAAAAGCATTTCTGACTAGCCAGAAAATACTGTGCAGTTTGAACTGTTATCTGTTAGCTCTGTTTTAAAGTGTCTGATGCTTGTTAACTGTTCACTGTTAACTGTTCATCTGTATTTGCTGTCAGTCATTAGGTCTGACTACAAATGCAGATACGATTAGGTGCCCAGATGTTCATTGACTTTATAAAGAAAATCCAACAAGAATTACTTTGATGAAGGAGTTATGATTGTCATGGCTGGGGGATTTTGCCAAGGGTTTTTAAACCCTTTGATTAATATCTGGGGTCCATGCTTTAGGTCAGAATCTAAGGGGGGGTCACATAGCAAAAATACACCCACCCTTCTTTTCCTTCTCTTTGAAGTATGAGCCTGTATTTATCACAGATGGTTTGTGCTTTTAATAGTTGATTCTGAAGAGTGAATGGTGATGAGCTTTGCACAGAGCTTTGACACAATGGAAGTAGATTGTTTGTTACAGTCATAAACAAACTGATTGTAAAAAGAATCAGAGTTTGGAATTTTGAGAGAATTAGTGATATTGCTTAATTTTTTTTTTTAAGGTGGTTGGTTTGGTTTTTGTTGCTTCAGATGTATAGGACATAAAGACTTGTTTCTTCTCTTATAGTTTCTGGTCTTGACATGAACATTACCCAGTTCCTGAAAAGCCTAGGTCTTGAGCACCTTCGGGACATCTTTGAGACAGAACAGGTAAGTGGCAAGCCATGTCTCTGTTTCTGTGTTTAGGAGATAAACATAATAAATTTGAGTGACATTTTCATTTTCTAATTGAAAAAGGGAAGGAAAGAGCCCACACATCACATCTACAGAGAAACAAGTGTGTTCAAGTTTTCTTTCTATTTTCTGCAAATGAATTGCCAGATACAGTATGGTGAAGTTGGAAAACCTATGAAAATATCTTTTCTTGTTGGATTCAGGTGTCAACTAGCTTTCACTTACACATACACTGTGACTTTAACTTGTATTCTGAGAGTTATTTTGGACCTTGTGAACTTTGAATGTGATGACTATAACAAAGTTAGGTTCAAGTGTCACCTGCTTTTGTCCTTCAGCAGTGATGACAGCCAAACAAGCCTTTCACCACCTGTAGTGCCACATATACTTTGGTTAGGTCTAGGAAACCCTGCAGTTTGACTATATGCTGAAATAAAAACCTAACATGGGAGTAGTCACACTCCAGAATACAGAAACTACATTTCCTGTTTGGTTAGGACCATAGGGTTTTGCCAGGCTAACTTTCAAATGTCATTGAGAAATGGGAGAACAAAACCTGCAGATTTATCAATAATTCATATATATAAAAGAGTACAACTAATGTAAGTTTCTCAAGCTTACATCACGTTTTATAGCAGAAGTACCTGTAAAGTATTTGTAGATTCCTTTTATGTACCATTTCTTAAATTTAACATGTTGCAGTTAAATAGATCTGTTTACATGACTGAGATGGATATACATGTAGAAGTGAAAGGTACGAGTGCAAGAGACTGAATTTGATGATTATTTTTTCCTCTGGCCTCTGCTGCTTATCTTTACTAGGAACCAGGAAACAAATGTTTGAAATGTTGTTTACAGTTTCAGCTGTTTCTATAAGATGTTCTAGGAGGTATCTCTTAAAAGATAAAATACCATATAACTTTTTCCCTTCTGATGTATGAAGCATAAGGTCTTCTCTTTAATTTGGAACTGTTTCTATTCAGACGGAAACCAACCTCAAACCAACCCATACGCTTCTCAAATTTTCTTTTTATTTTTCACACCTTCCTTTGCCTAGCTGGTCTTGTTCTACTTTTGCTTCCTTAACTCCTAACCTTTACAGATCTTCTCCTGCTAATAAGATTTAACAATGCAAATCGGATTCAATATATTCATCATTTTAAAATCACCTAGCTCTTGTAAGTTTCTCTGTAGAAAAAACAAGCTCATCTTCTTTAAGCTTATTCTTTTAAGCTGATTTTTCCAAGCACTTTTTCACCTTGGCTTATTATTAGTAAGCTTTTAGAATATTAATTTCTGCTTGTGTAGTGAAAATAATGAATTGTACAATGCTGTGAAATGTTGAATTCTTCGAAAGCACTCCCATATTAATGCCAGCATTTCAATGCATCCCCCTTCTTCGTAAGTGAAAATGTTTGTGAGATCATTTTTAACTGGTTAACTGGTGTGAGAGAAGTAAAAGTTTTGCACAACTTCTGGTTGTAGCAGTTTGGTATGATCCTGTGACAGGGAGAGGTTTGCCAGAAGGTGGCAGCAAGTAGAAGTGAAGCAAAATATTATCTATCTGTATGCTCTTGGCTGCACCATGAATACTTTCCATTTTCTAAAGTGATAGGTCTACAGCTTTGAAAGTCAGGCCAGATTTGGCAAGTGATTTTTGTGATCTTTCACCTTTCCAGATAACCCTGGATGTGTTGGCTGACATGGGGCATGAGGAGCTTAAAGAAATTGGGATCAATGCATATGGACACCGCCACAAATTAATAAAGGGTGTGGAGAGACTTCTAGGTGGTCAGCAAGGTAAATATGACACTTTTACTGGCTAATCTAAGTATAGCACACAACAAGCTCCCATAAGTCACTTTTTCTAAATGTAGGCATCGTCACCAGGACTTGAAAGAATCTGAATGTCAGGAAAGGGTATTTGCTGCCGTGGGTTGTGATAGCTAAAGAATATACTAAGGAGATACAAGACCAAGTGATGACTTGCCTTTTCAGAGAATGGATACCCCTGAGGCAGCTTTTGAAGTTGTGCCCATTTCTCAGGACCCTATTTTAACCAGGGAGGAGCTTTTGGATTTGCCCTACATATTTCCCACAGGCCAGTTATATCCTAAAGGACAGGCCTGATAGGGTTTTAGCTACCCCACGCTTCTGAGATGTTTCTGTGGAAAGAGGAAGCAATAAAGGGCAATTATGTCCCACATGCATTTTTCTTCTCTCTTTCAAAGCCTCTGCTGCTAACAAAAGCACTTTCATTTTTTTGAGGTTGTGCTTGTGCCTGTGTTTATTTTGCATTTCCTGCTGTATCAGGGTTGTTTAAGAGGAGCAGTGATAATGATGGATACAAATAGAACCAGTATTGGTTTTTCCTGTTGATTTTTGCTCCTTTTCATTTCTTCTCTTTGCAGGTACCAATCCTTATTTGACTTTCCACTGTGTGAGTCAGGGGACCATTCTCCTTGACCTTGCTCCTGACGATAAGGAGTATCAGTCCGTAGAAGAGGAGGTAATCCAAGTCCCTTTCTTAATGCTTCAGGGGCTGTGTATTTTAGTTTCCACTGATAACCTGTCAGAGCTGAAGTGTGCAATACATGTTGAAAGTACTAAAATAAGCTTTGGTGTATGAATTGCATAGATCTGTTGTGAAGTTTAGGGTTCTTTATTTGTCCTTTCATGTAGAACAATGATAGAAATTATTTTGCTATGTCCTGCCAATTTCTTTAGTAAGTGGTCTCTGCTCACTTAATGTTATCCCAGTTTCTTTTGCTGTTGTATTTTGAATTGTCTTGGATATTGTCTCATAGGGAGGGTGTGCACAGCTTTCTGTAGATAGGTGAACCTGTGAAAATTAAAAGCTTTGTGTGAAACCAAGGCATCAAGACCTTGCAATTCTCTAGGCATTTTCTGTGAAACAGCTTGTTTTCTCTTGTCTCAGTGACTTAGTTAATCTATAACCCAGATAAACAGCCCTTGGATAATTGAGAATTGACTGTAATTTTGCCTCCCCCACACACACATGCTCTTTTATTTAAGTAAACTACAGGCACATACCATTTTGAAAGCAAAAAATCATAACAGAAAAGAGACTTCCTGAAGAGTCATCTTCGGTAGAAACTCCATTTTACCATGCATTTGCTATTTGTGTCATGTTCCTAAACTATAGCACAGAAGTGTTTAGAGTCTTTTAAATAAAAGTCTAGATAATCAGAACTGCTGTCAGTTTAGATGGGCATATTTTTTATTAGTAACTTCATAAACTGGAGTTTGTGCAGATCTTTTTCATAAACTTTTCTGAAAGAAAGGTTCACTTGTCTGCCGTACTAGATTGGAGTATTTTTTTAACTGTTACAAAATATTATTTCTGTACCTATAAATACTTCTCTAAAAGACACAATGAAACTATTTCTGAGGGAATCAGAAATGCTCTGCCAATGACTTAAGAGAATTTACAATGTAGGTGTTTCCCAAATACTAAGAAATGCAAACAAAACTCATTAAAATCACATTTGTTATTACTATGAAGTGATCTTTTTGTATATTAATTTTCAAAGATTGTTTTTTCTAATTTAAAGAAGGTTTTCTAGTTGTGTATCATTTTGATAACAAGTACCATTATTCTCCTTTTTCTTATGCTGATTTTTATTACAAGATTGCATAATTGCATCATCTAGCTTCCCTGTTGTGGAACAGCATAATGTGTTGGGTGCTTGAGATAATAGGGTATATTAGGGTATACCTCAATTTAAAATTGAGATTTTTTTTTTTTTAACACCTTTTAATTCATTTTCCATCAAGATGTTGTTGCTAGTGATATACTGAGACATTGTATGGATGCTGTGCTTTGCTAGGAAGGTTTATGTGCTGAACATTCGGTTTTGTTTTTTTATGCAGATGCAAAGTACAATCCGGGAGCATCGGGATGGTGGAAATGCTGGTGGGATCTTCAACAGATACAATGTCATCAGGGTAAGTTTTAAAACATTTCAG